TAAAGACATGTGACGGCCAAAGGAAGAGGAGGCGGCGGCGGGGCTGGGAGTGGAGATTAATCGGGAAGGAAGGGGTCAGCACGCATCGACGACCTCCTGGCCAGGGGCCAGCTCTACCCGCGCCCCACCGAGCGTGGAGGGCGGACGGGCCGGCGGCACAGCGGGGCTCGGCGGCAAATTCCCGCGGTTAGGGGCTCCGCGGCCGGTGGAACAAGGAGGGCATTGTGCTGCACTCACTGTGTGCGGACGCAGGCCCTTGAGGGAGGGCAGACACGTTGGTCCCACGGTCCCTCCAATGCCCCGTGCTTCTGCTTCAGCCCTGCTCCGTACGGACAGGAACTCCACCCTGACCAGCTCCGGGCTGGGGGATGCCCCACGGCTGCCTGCGCTCCCCAGCCCCCTAGCCGGAAGGGCTCGGTCCCTCGTGCTGACAGCCGTCCCGCTTCTTCCTGCAGGACACAGACAACTCTGGTGCCACTATCCTACACCTGGCAGCCCGCTTCGGTCACCATGAGGTGATCGACTGGCTCCTCCGCTTTGGAGGCAGCGACCCCACGGCAGCCACAAACACGGGAGCACTGCCCGTCCACTACGCCGCGGTGAAAGGGGATTTCCCTTCCCTGCGACTCCTCTTGGGACACTGCCCCAGGTAACGGCCCCCACTGCTGGCAGCGAGACAGGGTCTGCCGGAAGTTTGGCACCGACCAGCAGGAGAGGGGCTAGTGGGAGAACAGGGTGACTGCTGTGGCCCCAGCCCTCCCTCCAGCCACTGGGCAAGGTGCCAGCTCTGGGGACGAATGCTGCAGCCACCCTGATCTCCCAGCTCCAAGGGCAACGCGGCCACGTTATCAGGCTGGGCATCCAGCTGCACCTTCTTTATGGCCCACAAAGAAAGGGCGAGGAGGAGAGGGGCGAGCGCTGGCAGAAATATTGTCACTGGGCGCTGAGTCGGCTCCTGGCGCGGGGCGATAACACAGCCGCCTTTGTCCGCCCGCTGTTATGTAAATGGATTAGGCTGACCGCCGAGGAGAGGCTGCTCCCGGCGCCGGAGGCGACCTTTCCGCTTGTCCAGGCCCGTGGGCATTGCTGGGCACGGCAGCCTCTCACAGACGGCTCCGTCGCGGCAGCATCCCCGCTTTTCCTCCTGAGCGGGACCTGGGGCCGGGCTGGTCCCCGGGTTACACGGCATAGCAGCCCACAGGGCCCGCGATGCCGGGCCTCGCCACGAGGCTGCAGCAGGCGATTAAGTGGCCGCTAATCCGATTTCCTGTGGTGGGCAGAGGCCACTAGAAATAACCCACAGACCCGGCCAAAGCGGAGCCGGGGGGATGCGCTGTTGCTCCACATTGTCCCTGGAAGGCTCCAGGGTTGTGGATGAGAGGGATTGTACAGCTCTTCCACATCCATGGAGTCCTAAGGCAGCGGGACGTGAACCAGCACTCGGCACCCCTCTGTCTCCGGGTGCCACAACACTGGAGCCCTGCATTTTTTCCTCCAGGCAGGACCAGACATCCCTGGATCCCATGGCACTTACTGGCCAGAGCTGTCCCATCCCCAGTTCTTTATGTCCTTGTCCCAGGTGTGCCTGCTTAGCCCTGAGCACTTCTGGGATTAACCCCTGCAGCCCGAGCTCAGCCCCAAACCAGTCACTGCTCCTGCTCACTGCCCACTGTGTCAGCCCAGGTGTGGCACGGCACTCGCATTGCCTTTCACGCTGCTTGCCGGGGTTGCTCTGCTGCTGTCACCGCCTTCCCCTTGAATTATTTAGGGCTGGCCCTGCTCCCAGCCCCGCGCCTGCCCGGAGGCTCCGTTACAGCTGCGAAATCCAATCCCCGATGCCGCAGTGGGATGCTGCCGCCCCCAGCCCACCTTCGCAGGGGCCCGCGGGCCCCCCGGCAGCCGGTGGCCCAGCATGGGGTCTCAGCCATCTGGCAAAGCAGTTTACTGGTGCTGCCCAAGTGGCTTAACCCCTTCCCAATTACTGAGAAATGGGAATCAGAGACTGACCCTGTGCCTGTGCTCCTGCTGTCCCCTGCACCCCAATCTGCAACTGCCCCAAGCCCCAGCCCCTGCTCAGGGATCACCCCTTGTGCCAGCCTGGCACTGCTGGACCGCGGGACAGGCACTCGGTGGCACGGCACGCAAGGCACAGCGGGAAGGGAGTGCTGGCCACAGCTCGTCTCACAGTTACCGGGATCAATTATTAAGGGCCTGCGATCGTTGCGATAACAGAGCAGAGTATTTATTGCTCTTCCTTTTTTAAATATTCAACAGGTTTTTTTTATGGAGCACTTAATAAAACAGCTTCCTGTGGGGTCGGGAGGCAGGATGCAGGATGTGGGATGCAGAATATGGGTTTATGGGGGATGTGGGGTAAAAGGTGTGGGATTCAGGATTTGGGTTGCACAATTTGGGAAACACAATTCAGGATAAGAGACACAAGGATGCCAAGGCCTTTTGGGGCAGAGAGGGTACACTGGCAGCTGGGCTGGGCAGCGCCGTGGTGCAGGTTGGCCTTTCCCCGCCAGCTCTATGGCCAGTGCTGTGTAAGAAGCTTAATTTAAAATACGACTAAATTGCAGTGTCCAAAAACAGCCGGAGGAAGGAGCTTAGCCTAAGCAGCTGATTAACTTAGTGACCTCCCGCTGCAGCTGCAGCCACCGCCGCAGCACGGGGACCTATGGGAAGCCATGGGGTGGACATCTCCCAGCCCTAGCACTGCCCTGCCTGCCCACAGCTGTGTCCCCTGCACCTCCCCAGGTTCCTTGTGTCCCACAAGCCCCCATGTCCCTGTATCCTGCCTGCCCCCATGTCTCAGCCCTGGCGGTAGCAGTGGCCACAGGTGACGGGCGCTGTGCCCTGCTTGCAGTACACTGAGTGCCCAGACCAAGACGGGGGCCACCCCGCTGTACCTCGCCTGCCAGGAGGGCCACCTGGAGATCATCCAGTACCTGGTGCAGGATTGTGGGGCTGACCCCCACGCGCGCGCTTATGACGGTATGACCCCACTGCACGCCGCCGCCCAGATGGGCCACAACACTGTCATCGTATGGCTGGTAAGCACTGTCCAGGCACAGCATGGCACGGCGTGGTGGCACAGTGCGGTGGCACAGCACAGGGTGCACAGCCCCAGTGCTCAGCCCGCCTGCTCACACAGATGAGCTTCACGACGGTGAGCCTGTCGGAGCGGGACGCCGAGGGGGCCACGGCCATGCACTTTGCTGCCAGCCGCGGCCACGCCAAGGTGCTGAGCTGGCTGCTGCTGCACGGCGGGGAGATCACTGCAGACGGCTGGGGCGGCACACCACTGCATGATGCCGCCGAGAATGGCGAGCTGGAGGTGGGTGCTGGTGGCCAAAAGGGTGTCAGGGCAAGGGGGGGCCCTTCTCTCCAGCCCTGCCTTGCACCCCCACTCTCCCCAGTGCTGCCAGATCCTGGTGGTGAATGGTGCCGACCTCAGCATCCGTGACCAGGACGGCTACACAGCAGCCGACCTCGCCGACTACAATGGCCACAACCACTGCGCCCAGTACCTGCGCACCGTGGAGAACATGGTACGGCGGTGCCGGGGACAAGGGCGTGGGGAGCACACAGGGAGCACGCAGGGCCTCCCCACACCTGCCCTGCTGCCTGACCCCACGGCTGTGCCAGCAGAGCGTGGAGCACCGCGTGCTGTCACGAGACCCCTCGGCGGATGGGGAATGCCGACAGCCCGACTCGGGCATGTCATCACCCAACACCACGGCGTCGGTGCCCCAGGCGCGCTTCGAGGTGGGCTCCCCTGCCAGCACCCT